CAGTCCTGAATCGATGATCACTGAGCTTGCCGGTCCCTTATTTTTGTTCATCGATGAACCCGTGGGTGTCGAATGGCTTGATAGATTGTGAGGGGGTTGGTTTCTTCCTCCGGGTGCTCCGGCCATGACATCCAGTTTCTCCAAAACCTTGTCCATGGTTGTTTGCATCTCATCATGTCTCTGGTTTGTCTGGCTTTGACCTTGGAGGATATCGTCAATCCTTGCTCTCATCCCCTGGATTTCAGTCCCGTGTGATTGGAGCTGAACTTGCATCAACCCCACTTGTTCCTCCACCTTCTTCACGGCTGCTGCTTCCCTGGACGCTCCTCCTATGGAATCGGTTTGAGTGCTCTGATACCAAATGATAGCTTATACTTACAATTTACTAGAAATCACACAGAAATTATAAAAGGATATGTTCTCACAATTATAGAGGTGAGTGCTCTCCCGAGTTCATAGAGAACTTTTCATTAAATTTCAACATAACCCGAAAAAAAAGAGACATCATGACTTATATAAGAAGCCTGGAACAAAAGACAAAAAGCTGACACTACCCTCCCCTGGAAGAATCTTCCATTCCACTACCATAATCGTGGGGAGAGCATTACAAAACAGAAAAGCAATAACAACTTGATAACCGATATAAAAAGAAAACGACCACCCGGACAAGCCTTTATTAGACTGGATTGGATTTGGACCTGTTTCTTCTTTTGTTGTAGACAAATGTGTCTTTGGGCCTATCATAAAGCTGATGAATTTTTTCAAAACCATGAAAGAAAATGGATGAAACACACAGAATTCCCAGCTAGAACTATAAAAGGTATGTGTACCTTGTTTGTGTTTATTCAGATGAAATCCTTGAAGATAAATGTTAATTGATGCAGTTTTGGTTGGTATAGCTCTAGTTACTTGAGTTGATGGCTGATAAGCTTGACGTAGAAATTTGTGAGTTTGACCTAGTAATGAAGAATCGAGAGAACTTTACTGCTAAATGTCATAGTTGATATTATTAGGATGAATTAGCATCTGCGTAAATGTTAAAGTTTGTGGTATGGTGCATATTATAATATTATGATAAATATAATTAAGTTTTGTTATAAATTGTTCATTTTTTAGAATATTTTTCTTTTTAACATAAACTAATTGTTAAAAAATATTTATATTTTGTTTATTATAACAAAACACGTGAATCTTATACTATCACCCAGTACGAACCAATAGCATACGTGAGAGTCCATGATCATGCCACCATAAACGATAAACTGAAACAATGGACTCTTACTAAATGATATATCAATTAAAGTCTAACACAAAGAAATTCAGTTCAAACCAACACAACCTTACACTTAAAACACACACACGCTAAATGGTTTAACAGACTAAAATCCCTTGAAGCTTGTCTACATCTTCTCCTTGCCCTTTGAATGTGAAGATATGATACCTGTTGGTTAATTGATTCAAAATAATCACTGCCATGTGTCTTTAATTACTGCATTAGTAGAATCTTAAAAGTTGTTTTTCAGTTACAAAAGTCAAGAGTCTTAGTCTGTCTTTTTATCTTTCTTTCGGTTCATGTTTTTGTTTCCTATTTAAGCTCTGTAATTTCTCAGTTTTAGATGGCAGTGAAATATTATCCATTTTCCTCTTCTTTTGTTTACAAACAACAGTGGTAACAGAGCAGTTCCAGGTTCTGATCCGCTTCTTTCTTTATCAAGCAAAAGAAAGGAGTAACTGAGTGAAACACCTAAGAGAGATAGCAATGGCAAGAAACAACAACAGTTCTGCAACTCAGCCTCTGATTCCAGTCTTCAAAGGAGAAAAGTATCATTTGTGGAGTCTAAAAATGAAGACTTTGTTCAAATCCCAGGAGCTTTGGGAATTGGTGGAGAATGGATACACAGAGCCAACTCCAGCACCAGCTCAACCAGATCAACCGTTGCAGGACACTCGTAAGAAGGATGCAAAGGCTCTTCTATACATTCAATCGGCGTTGGATGATGAAATATTTCCTCGTATTGCTGCTACATCAACATCCACGGAGGCATGGGAAATTTTGAAGCAAGAATATATGGGTGATAAAAAGGTAATCACTGTGAAACTTCAATCACTTCATCGTGAATTTGAAACTTTGGTTATGAAAGAAAAGGAATTTGTGCAAGTATTTCTTTCTAGAGTATCTGGACTTGTCAGTCACATGAAAACTTATGGTGAAAATGTTAGTGAAGAAACAATAGTAAGCAAAGTCCTACGAAGCCTGACCAAGGAATTTAATCATGTTGTTGTCGCGATTGAAGAATCTAAGGACCTATCAACTTACACGTTTGATGAGTTGATGAGTTCTTTGATTGCGCACGAAGAAAGGTTAAATAGGGGCAGCGAAAAAGGTGATGAGAAAGCATTCCAAGTAAGAGGCAATTCTTTTAAAGGCAGACCAGAAAAATCTGGTGGTTCTTCCGGTGGTCGTGGGCAAGGAAGAGGCACTTTTCGAGGTCGTGGTCGTGGAAGAGGAAGAGGAAACTTTGCAGATCAACGTTACCAAAAGAGCAACCTGCAATGTCGGTATTGTAATAGATCTGGACATGTTGAAGCTGATTGTTGGACCAAGCAAAAAGATGAAAATAAAGCTAACTTTACTAAAAAGGTGGAAGAAGAAGGTAGGCTATTTATGACTATGTCTACAACTACTAATGTTTCAGATCGTGTGTGGTATATAGACAGTGGATGTTCGAATCACATGTCTGGTTCAAGATCTCCATTTCGAGATCTTGATGAAACAAACAAAAGTGAAGTCCGACTTGGGAATGACCGAAAGATTGAAGTTAAAGGCGAAGGTACAATCACTATTGAAACCATGCATGGTAATACTAAAGTTCTTCATGATGTTCAATTTGTACCAAGTTTAGCATACAACTTACTGAGTGTTGGACAGCTAATGAGAAGTGGACATCGTGTAGTATTTAATGATGACACGTGTTCCATAATTAACAAGAAATTTGGGCAGCCTATGGCAATTGTCCAAATGACTCAAAATCAAGTGTTCCCTCTCGATGTTACAAAAGATTATAAAGCCTTAACGGTTAGTTGTGATAATGAGGCCAGGCTTTGGCATCTACGATATGAGCATTTGAATGTAAATGGGCTGAGATTGCTAAGCAGAAAGGAGATGGTTTTCGGGCTGCCAAATATTGGTGAAGTTGGTTTTTGTGAAGGGTGTGTTTATGGAAAACAAAGCAGAAAGTCGTTTCCCGTTGCAAGTTCTTGGAGAGCTTCAGATTGCCTAGAACTCGTACATGCTGACTTGTGTGGTCCTATGAAAGCTGAGACATTTGGCGGAAGTCGGTATTTTTTTCCTGCTTACTGATGATTTCAGTCGTATGAGTTGGGTTTATTTCCTAAAACTCAAGTCAGAAGCCTTTGAGTGTTTCAAGAATTTCAAAGCACTTGTGGAGAAACAGAGTGGCGGGAACATCAAGGCTCTCAGAACTGATCGTGGTGGCGAGTTTTTATCTAATGAGTTTAATGATTTTTGTGATAAAAATGGCATTTACAGGTAATTAACAGCACCTGAAACACCCCAACAAAACGGGGTAGCAGAGAGGAAAAATAGAACAGTAGAAGAAATGGCAAGAAGCATGCTGAAAGCGAAGGGACTGTCTGATCAGTTTTGGGGAGAGGCTGTTGCAACTGCTGTGTATATTCTAAATATCTCTCCAACTAGAGCTGTTATGAATCGCACACCATATGAAGCTTGGACAAGTAGAAAACCCACAGTAAGTCACTTAAAAGTCTTTGGTTGTGTAGCATATGCTTTGGTAAATTCTCATTCAAAACTTGATGAAAAATCTCTAAAATGTATTTTCATTGGGTATAGTCCTCAATCCAAAGCATATCGTTTATATAACCCTCTTAGTGGCAAAGTGATAATAAGAAGGAATGTTGAGTTTAACGAAGAAGCAAGGTGGATACCTAATACCCAAAAAGAAAGAGATCAGGTTATAAACTTTGAAGATGTACCATCCACAAGTTCAGGAGATAATGCAAAAATACCCCAGGGCGGTCAAGGTTCTTCAAGTTCAGATTCTTCAAGTTCAGATTCAGATAATGACAATTCATCAAATAATCCACCACCGAGAGACACTTATGATGATACACCGAAGGAGTTCAAACCTGTGGCTGATGTTTACAACTCCTGTACATTTGCCTTGTATGCAACAGATCCAACCGATTATGAAGAAGCTGTTCAGCAACCTGAGTGGCAGAAAGCTGTGAAAGAAGAAATACAAGCCATTGAAAGAAACTCAACATGGGAGTTGGTTAATGTTCCAAAAGTATAATGCTGATGGAAGTCTTCAAAAACACAAAGCTCGTCTTGTTGCGAAAGGGTATTCACAAGAATACGGTATAGACTATGAGGAAACCTTTTCCCCTGTGGCTAGATTCGAGATAGTTAGAATAATTATAGCATTGTCTGCACAATTTCAACTACCTATTTTTCAATTTGATGTGAAGTCCGTCTTCTTGAATGGTGAGTTAAGTGAAGAAGTGTATGTAGCTCAACCTCAAGGATTTGTTGTTAAAGATGCTGAAAATAAAGCCTACAAGTTGCGAAAGGCTTTGTACGGTTTGAAGCAGGCTCGACGTGCATGGTATAGTAAGGTTGATTCTTTCTTTCAAGAAAACGGATTCAAAAGAAGTGAAATGAGCCCACTCTTTACCTTAAGCAACAAGGTAATCGAGAATTCTTGTTAGTCTGTCTTTACGTGGATGATATCATCTATATGGGAACATCTAAGTCCTTAATTGATGATTTTAAATCTTGCATGATGAGCACATTTGAGATGACAGATTTAGGGTTGTTAAAATATTTTCTTGGGGTTGAAGTGCTGCAAAGAAAAGATGGAATTTTTGTATGTCAAAAGAAGTATGCTACGGACCTGCTCAAAAAGTTCAATGTGACTGGTGGTAAAGTATCAACAACACCAATGAACATCAATGAGAAGCTACAACATGAAGATGGATCCGATAAAACAAACTCGAGTGTGTTTAGAAGTCTAGTTGGTGGTCTGAACTACCTGACACATAGTAGACCGGACATTTCTTTTCCTGTTAGCGTAGTATCAAGGTTTCTTCACAGCCCTACAAACTTGCATCTTGGTGCAGCCAAGAGGATTCTTCATTATGTAGCAGGTACCAATAATTATGGCATCTGGTATTCAAGAGTTTCTGAATTTAGGTTGGTTGGCTTCAGCGATAGTGATTGGGCTGGGTGCGTAGATGATCGCAAAAGCACATCAGGCAATGTTTTCAGCTTTGGTTCCGGAGCTGTAACATGGAGTTCTAAGAAGCAAGATACAGTGGCTCTATCGTCATCAGAAGCTGAGTACATAGCAGCAAACGCAGCAGCTCGACAAGCCTTATGGTTGCGAAAAGTTCTTGTTGATTTGTGTGTTGAGCAAGAAGATGCAACAGAGGTATTTTGTGACAACAGATCAACCATTGCAATGGCCAAGAACCCTGCTTTCCATGCTCGTACGAAGCATATAGATGTGCATTACCATTTTATTCGCAAGTTGATCACTGATGGAAAGATTAAACTGAGTTTTTGTGGAACAAATGAGCAGACAACAGATATATTCACTAAATCTCTTCCTCAAGCCAAACATGAGTTCTTTAGAATGCAGCTCGGAGTATGCAACTTTGAATCAAGGGGGAGTGTTGGTTAATTGATTCAAAATAATCACTGCCATGTGTCTTTAATTACTGCATTAGTAGAGTCTTAAAAGTTGTTTTTCAGTTACAAAAGTCAAGAGTCTTAACTGTCTTTTTATCTTTCTTTCAGTTCATGTTTTTGTTTCCTATTTAAGCTCTGTAATTTCTCAGTTTTAAATGGCAGTGAAATATTATCCATTTTTCCTCTTCTTCTATTTACAAACAACATGATCATGCCACCATAAACGATAAACTGAAACAATGGACTCTTACTAAATGATATATCAATTAAAGTCTAACACAAAGAAATTCAGTTCAAACCAACACAACCTTACACTTAAAACACACACACGCTAAATGGTTTAACAGACTAAAATCCCTTGAAGCTTGTCTACATCTTCTCCTTGCCCTTTGAATGTGAATATATGATACCTTCTGAGATATATGATAATGTATGTTTTACGCGGCTAGTTCATTGCTTTTTATCTATACAAAATACAGCGCCCACAGTCATAAAACTTGCGTTTCAGAAAATATGGTTACAATATCGATTACTACCAAATACTTTAAACATGCACTATATTATAATAATCCCGAAACAAAAATGTCTTTCACAGACATCATGTTAAAAATACCATTAACAAATAACATGCCGAAAACAGCGACCAACATCACATAACAAATCCAACTTAAAATATGAAATATTGTTTTAGTATGTTAATGTTAAAATATGTTAATAATACTTTCTTTGCTAAAATGTATGTATGGTTCGAAAATAATGCTTTTGACTAATGATATAAAAATGAAAGAAATTTTTAATTAGACAATTTTGAGAAACGTGTGTGTGTGTATCTAAGATAATATCACAAATATCTTCTAAAGGCTGCTTTAAAGTAAACAAATATTTAAAAAAAAATAGATTTGTAAAGAGATATTTTTGTCAATGACTTTTAACACAATAAAAAATCAAATAGGTTGAGGGGTTGAAAAGAGATCCACATATAAGGAATTATTGTACCTTGGTTTCTCCTTGTGTGACGAAGTGGCCTTACCCATCTGTCCTTTCTCTTTGTGAACCGATTGCTATACCTTTCATATAGAAAGTTTCCAATAACAACTCCAACAACCAACCCACTTGCAACTCCACAGAATACAAAGATCCAATCGATTGGTTCGTTTGGGAGGAGAGACTCGGACTCGGACGTATTGCTTGCAGGTGGAAGCCTTGATGGCATTGAACCTTGGCATTCGTTGTATAAAGGTTTTCCACACAATCGTGGATTCCCCATATAGGAGTCGTTTTCGAATGTATCAAATTGTTGACCTTTTGGTATTCGCCCTTCAAGTTGGTTGAATGACACGTTGAAAATGGAAAGGAAGTTGAGTAGCACCAACTGTTGGGGAATTTCTCCGGATAGCACGTTTTGGGAAAGATCCAAAGATTCAAGTTTCTTTAGGTACCCGAAAGATGGCATGACACGTCCAGTAAACTGATTGTTGGAAAGATTGAGTGATTCAAGGCCTCGAAGATCTTGGAGTGATGGTGGGATTTCTCCTTCAAAATGGTTACAAGAGAGATCAATAGCCGTGAATATGGTTAGAATCTTTTCGTACTTTGTTCTAACACCTTTGTGTATTATTGTCATACTGTAACTGTATAAAGCCGTTATGAATGTATTTATTGTACCGAATGGTATAATGGTTATATCTGATTCCATAACCGATGATTTGCTATCATAAACTGATTTCATGGCTTTCCAAGTTTGGAAGTAGTTTTGATGCAGTTGACCACTAAAATCATTGTTAGAGAGGTCTATGATCCGCAACTTAGGGAACTGTGAGGAAACAGTTGTCGAAGATTGAATCGGCCCATAAAATTTGTTAGCCCGCAACGAGAGAACTTGCAGGTTGGGAAGATTTCCCAACCAAGAAGGAAAGACGTCATGGAACGAGTTATCTCCAAGATTGAGAAACTCTAAATTGGTACAATTTGTCAATGATCTTGGTAGCTGACCCGTAAACTGATTTTTGTTAAAATCAATATATTTCAACTGGCTTCCATTCATAAACACATTCATCATTATGCCATGAAAGTTATTTCTGCTCAGATCCAAAACCAACAATGAATTGAATAGGTTACCAAAACATGGAGGAAGAGTTCCACTCATGTTGTTAGAAGACAAACGTAATAAGCGCAGAGATTTCACTTCACATATCAATGGTGGTATTTCTCCAGTCAGATTGTTATCTGAGGCTACATAAACAACTGTGGTTTGTGGTGGAATTGGTAGCTTCCCTTGTAACTGACTATTCTTGATCAAAAAAATTTGTAAACGGCTCCATGGTAGAAATTGAGGATGCTGTTGAAAGCCTGTGATGGAGTTGTGTGAAAGGTCAACCGCATGTAATGTTTCTTTGCTGTTGTTCCAGATCCACACTGGTACCATGCCATCAATCTTGTTGCTGTCGAGAAATAAGATTTCCAATTTATTTTGGAAGCGCAAAAAGGCAGGGAATTCCTTCAAGTTACATGTCGACAGTGCTAGGTTTTTAAGTTCCGGTAAGGTGCTATTGGTGTAATTGTTGGTGGCCACTAATGATATCATGTTATGACCTAAGTCGAGAGTTTCGAGTTTGTTGAGTCCTAAGAACATGTCTACGTCTACACTCCCACTGAAATTATTGAAGCTAAATTGAAAAACTTTAAGACTTTTAAAGTTGGAAAATGAACTTGAAATTGGTCCTTGCAGTTGATTTCGTTGAAGGTCTATAAATGATAGTTGGGTGAGGTTGAAAAACCAGGATGGTATATGACCCGTAAAAGAATTTATTCCCATCCCAACAACACTAAGTTTTGTTAGGTTTGCAAGAAAGGCTGGTATTTTACTGTTTATGTTAGTATCGTATACATGCAGCTCTTCAAGTTCAGCCAGCATGCCAAGCCAGTTGGGCAAGACTCCCTTATCAAATCTGTTATCACTGAGATCTAAAATCATGAGTTTGGAAAGACTTACCAAGGAAGGAACAAAGCCTGTGAACTTATTCCCACCAAGAGATAATTTAGTGAATTGTGTCATGTTAGAGAGTGAACCTGGAATGTGCCCTGTGAAAGAGCAATTGGAAAGGCTCAAGGATGTCAAATGGTTTAGATTACTTATGGATTCTGGTAAAATCCCGGAAAAACTTGTTAAATGTAGATGCACAAGTTCAAGTAAGCTGCTGTTACGAAACTCACGAAAGGTGCCTGTGAGGTTTATATTTAATGCCAAATCAAGAGTTTTCAACTTCGGTAGCTGAAAAATGGCTGCAGGGAATTCATCTTGAAGCAAACAGTTTTCTAGCGTGATTGACCTCAAAGAAGAAAAGTTGGCCAAGAAATGAGGTACAGAAGAACTAATGTCAACCCATGAGAGATGGAGTTCTTCGAGTCCTGTTAAGTTTTGCACTAGGTTTTTGAGGCCAGAAGGATTTTGAAGCTTTAGCGGATTCAATGACAGATCTAAAGACGACAAGTGCATCAACTGTGAGATCTCATTCGGGACATGGCCACTAAACCCAGAATAAGAGAGATTGAGGCTTCTTAATTGCTTTAAATGAGAAATCTCAGATGGGATTTGAGATTCATAAAAGTAGTTGAAGGCAAGGTTGAGGCTTTGAAGATGAACAAGGCTGAAGAGGGTGCTGGTAGAATTGATATGCCCACAAAGAGAGCATCCGCTCAAGTCAAGGCCAATCACATGACCATACTGATCATGGTCATTGCTGCACTCCACCCCATACCATGAACAACAATCAAAACCAGCATTTGATGCATTGATGGTGGGCTTCCAAGAGTGGAATGTCTGAAACCAACTAGCACCACAAAACGGTTCATCATCTGGATAAATCATGCTTTGCTTAAACTGAAACAAGGCTGAGCATTCCTGATCATGGCTTAGGGATGATCCAATGCAGGTGAGTGTGAAAAAAAAGTATAAAAGGGAGATGGCTTGCAACAAGCTGAAGTGATTCATGTATGGAGCCATGAAAGAAAGGTTTGATATTTAATTGTTTGTGGATGTGTAATGTTCAATGATCCATGATCATTATATAGACCATCTCCAAGTTAAGTTTAACCTTCCACCATAACTAGATAAGATGTCACATATATGGCTGTGAGCAAAGGGGAACCAATAAAATGTATCTGGAAGTCAACTAACAGAGTCTAAGAAAAAAATACCACCAGAAGAGAAATATATGGACTAAATACAAGGAAAAAAAACTTGGTTTATTTGCGCATTAATAATAAAAATTTTTATTAATTAAATGACCTGAACTACTATTGTCTTTTTCTGAAAGTAATACAAGTTGGAATGTTAAAAACAACTGGTTATTCTTGTTATGGATTTAGAAAATTTAGTATATATACTTTTACCTTTAGTTGGTCTTCTGTTTTGATTTTCATAGCCTTCTGTCATTTGATGACTGCATCAAAAAAATTAGAAACTTGATATGTGGAAAGTGGAAAGTAGAAGCTCAGGGTTCGATCTTTTTCGTATTTCTATGAAGTGTTATCCAGATAAATGATTTTGTTTGGATGAAGTGTTCTAGCTAAAATGAATTTATTTCTTTTTTTTTTTAAGTCAATAAAATATCTAAATGATGGTAAATGATCTTTTTTTCTTCTGTCTAAATTTGTGCAAAATAAAAAAACAAGCATCTTTGTGAAAAATGTTCTGAATGTAAATTTTATAGTAAATTAAAGTTTCGGTCATTATGGTTGACACTTGGTTAGTCCAAGTTTTGAAAAATTGGTATGGATCATCCTCATGTTTATCATTTTCTTGTTTTTAGTATTACAATTTAATTCCATGTATGTATAGCATATTTTTTTGTACGACTAATTCACACTCCTAATCTACTTCTAAATCTAGAGTTGAACCCTGAAACTATTTTGTTGAGGGATCTTTTCCAACAACTCCTTATATCACTACTGTCATATGCTATTTGGTGATATATAAGATAATTCCAAAGCTGTTCTAGCAAAACTGAAGAGCTCTTGTATTAATTTGCACATGTTAATTAACATATTAAATAAATGTTAAATCATATTTCCACTCAAACAGTTTATATTTTTGTTATGAGATGAAGAATCAAATACAACAACGAAACCTTTGACACCTTAAAGACGGATGATTAATGTTTACTCAGACACAAACTTCTAAACTTCTGACCTCATCAACCTGCATACGATTGTAGATTGTATAGTTGGTTGTTGTTTTACTAAACATCTTTGAAAAAATGATGGCATGTATGATTATAATAATGTCCAAAATCATTTGTATTACGAGATTTTATTCAAATCAAATCCTATAAAATCACCCGTATTTTGTGGTCCAGTATTCTGCATAGCTGTCATTATAATTTTTTTCGGGAACCACAAATATTTTACACTGATATTATTATCATAGATAACCTATCATGCAGGTTACATATCCCCATTCTATTGGAATTTTCAACACCCACAAAGACTCGACTTTTGATCGTGGAAAATTTCAAATAATGACAACAATGTTGTATGTCTTTACATATTTGTTTGACGACATCGTTGGAAATTTTTGTTTGAAGTGGTATAACGACAAGAATATTGGAAAATATCAACTTTACATGGAAGTTTTTAAATTATGACGTATACAATGTACAATAATGGAGACAAATACAGTGGGGGCTCCAACAAACGTCTAGAATGGGCAATAAGATACTTATAGAATATAAACAATTAAATACTATAAGACCGCTCAAAAATTATGTATTATTAATTTTACTTAAAAAGTAAATTAAAAGGTGTTTGGGATTTACTTATTAAAACGACTTTTTTTTAGAAATGATTATTAATTTATCTTGTGTCAAAACAGAGTTTAAAAGAAAATTGGATTGCTTATTTGGTTCCAAAATGCAATAAGTTGATAAGTTATTTTGTATTGATTGATAAATTTTGCTTATGTGACAAAATCAAAAGACTAAACTTGCTTATTACCTACAGGTACCAAACCGCAATAAATCAATAAGCACTTCAAATAAGCAATCCCAAACAACTCATATGTTATTAATTTTCCTTAAAAGTAAATCAAGTCATAAATAAATGTCAACAAACTAACCTAAAGAATTTCATCCCATGGTTTAAATAAACCGGTTAAAATGGGCTAGAGACCGGTTATGGAGGGTCTACTGATTACAATAGTTATAACATTAACATTATGAAGTCCAACCTGATAATAGAACGGTTGGAGGTGCACAAACCAGGCTCTCAACTGGTTATAGTTGGTCGTTGCCTAGGTCCGATGTACCGTAACATGTTATGGGTCGGTATGTTGTAATAGGTGACGGTTTCGATGTACCATAACAAATTATGGGTCTAGTCCCAAAAATGATATAATGGGTATAAGTTATAACCGGTCCTTAACATCGTTTATCACTTTTGGTTATCCGTTCACAAGTCAGGATGTATTCAAAAGTTTTTTTTTTTGTAAGGTAATTAAGATGTCTTCATCTTAGTCCTCTTAGCCTTGACTAAATCACACATTTTAATGGCATCTCGTCCAATTATGTCCAAGATATAACATCTTTCTTAATGATATCTCGATCGAAGTTTTTTGATTTAGCTTTTACATCTTGTATGAATTTGTATAATTTATTTAGTTTAAAACTAACTTGAAAAAAAAATTTCAACATCATCATATTTTGGCCCTAAACTTTCATTTTCTTTCCTAGTTTATATATAGAATATATGTTCCATGAACTAGACCATGAGTGTTTTTTTATAAATCTTAATGAAAGGCACATACTTGAGTTTTGACATAACATCAAATATTCTATTGGGTAGGCATATGTCTTGCGATAGACTTAAAGTCTCCATGCAAGCTGCAGTGAGATTTATGGCATAATTTGCAACCATTTAAAGTTTGTTATTAATGGATATAACATGTATTGTTCCTTAGCCTTTTGATTATATTCAGCAAAGTGGTTGAACTTGTAGTGGAATGTTTCACTTGTTGAATGTTAAAAATTGAGTCTTTTTTATGTCTTTGTATTCTTGGTTATTGCGCTGTATTTACACAATTGACCTACACCAGTTGTCTCCGCCTCCTAAAATCATTATATGGAATGCCGGTTGATGGTTAGTTTTGTATACATGTTCGTTGAACTTTAAGTTTTATGTGCACGTTTGTTTGAGTACAGTTGCTTATGTTGGTACAGACCCTTTAAAAACACACACACAACACACACTACTCACGTATGTATGTGAACAAAAACTTGTTCTTTATATTCAATAAACAAGGTTACTACTTATGCAAGGAAAGCTACTGCTATATATACTACTCTAACTATGCTATCTAATCTAATTAATAGATCATAATCACGTAAACTTACTCCTAAAGTAAAGCTAGATATGGGATAAAACCCCTCATGAATTGGTCTTAATTCTGAACAAGTAAACCTTTCTTATTTTCCATGTTTATTATATGTGGATATCCTCCATCAGTTACTAATACCCGTAAGCTACGGGATCATGACCCATTGACCCGTATCTATGACCCGATAAATAAATGATCATTAACCCAACAATCACCCCTTAATCGTTTATTCACACTTTTCACTCACATCAGCATCTAACCACTTTCTTTTCGAACCAACTCGATTCTTGACTTTTCCCGGACACCCGACCTGCACCTCAGTCACGTCCAAAGTCCTCCATACCCGGCTGTTGTTTGTCACCACACATAATCCGTTTTCATCTAACACTTCTGTGAAACGCGAGCTGTCTTCCACCAATCAAAAAAACAAAGCAACCCGCTTTTCCCATCTTCTTTCATCTGCAAAAATGAAACAAACCCAAAGCCACCTGCTTGACGGATCTTTTCTGTTCGTTTTCTCATGCATGTCCGGTAACTCTCTCCATTTTCCGGTGACATACCCACAACCTACCGCTGGAAGAACTACCATTCTCGCCTTCACAGCCAAGAGCACAACCTTTGGATTCTACACCAGTGAAAATCATGAGCAACAACACCTCGAAGCACCCTCACAATCGCCTTCATCTCTGTTAACACCCATTGTATGCTATACAGAGAAGCACAACAACCCTCTACGACCTAATTCAACATCATCGCTTCTTGTTTCAACCGGCAAATCACCACAATAAACTGCAGCCACCTGCTGCACACAACAGTTTCTGCCATGACTAGAACCTCGAAGAAGCCATTGCCAAACACTCGGCTTTCGCTGTGATGGCGGCCCCGCACCCGAAGGCTCCTTCCTTTCGAAAGTCGATTCTCAAACCGGCCCTCTTCAACCTTCGCACTGATACCAATTGTTGGTACAGGCCCTTTAAAAACACACACACAACACACACTACTCACGTATGTATGTGAACAAAAACTTGTTCTTTATATTCAATAAACAAAGTTACTACTAATGCAAGGAAATCTACTGCTATATATACTACTCTAACTATGCTATCTAATCTAATTAATAGATCATAATCACGTAAACTTACTCCTAAAGTAAAGCTAGATATGGGATAAAACCCCTCATGAATCGGTCTTACTTTTGAACAAGTAAACCTTTCTTATTTTCCATGTTTATTATATGTGGATATCCTCCATCAGTTACCAATACCCGTAAGCTACGGTATCACGACCCATTGACCCGTATTTGTGACCCGATAAATAAAGGATTAACCCAACAGCTTATGGCACTCCACACGAGCAAGTTGGCATAATATGGCGGTCCACAAGAGCAAGCTGCTTATGGCAATCCGTGTAAACAGAGCTACTTATGCCAATAAACAACCAACATTGCTTAAGTGATAAGCAAGTTCTCAAGCAGCAGGGCAGGTTTTCTTAAAGAGCGTGTTTTGAACGTTCAAGTGGGGCCAGATTTGTCAATGTTCACTTCGGCCCATGATGTTTTCTGAGCCCATTATTATTAGATCAACGTTTGTAAATAGTCTCATTTACTATAACTTTAATGTATTGTACGAAAAAAGCATTTTACCACAGGATATAATAAATCTCTCTCATGTTTGTCCTGGACATAACCGATCATTCTAATCGTGTGAACCATGTAAATTGATTTTGTTTTCTTCTTTTGATTTTGTATTTAATTGTATGAACCACATAAATTAATTGTGTCGTGTTATTTTGATTTTGCATT